AAACTATTGCAAGATCAGGAAGCATCACTTCAAATCATACTGCTTTTCATCAGATATTGCCAATTGTTGCTGAACTCTAGCTGTCCTCTAGCTCAAAGTAAATACATTTTTACCCACAAATGGTTTATCACTGTTTGATTTGATTTGCTCTTCCAGGCTACTATTTGGTCCCTCCCATTATATTGCTTTGTGGGGTGCTGTGATGATTAATAATATCAATACCAAAAAAACCCAACAACCAAATAGTAAGATTAAAAATAATAAATACCTTAATGAGTGGTTTCTCATTAACCTCTTTTACATCAGCCAAAGCCCAAAGGATACAGCATGAACTGGTTTCCTCTCCATAGAGTATTGAACTCTGTAAAATATAAACAAGGCTAGAATGTTTATCTGCTTCACTGATTAGAATTCAACATTTCCAACACCCTCTTGTCCAGTTTCACAAACATGACTCATTGAACTCTCGTTCACAACTCTAAGGCTGAGACATTCCATAATTTCCAGTATGTCTTCATTTTTAGAATTCTTGATAATTTATAAAATCCAGATAGGGTTCGGCTCCTCTTTCTTGTTTCCTTCTCCTTTCCTTCACCACTGCCAGATTTGTGGTGTCTTAGAAATTTCTTAGAGATTTGTAGTGTCCAGGATACCTGAAAGAGCATATTGTCCCATACAAACCTGCCAAGGCTTTGAGATCTGAAGGGGAGGCAACTTCTTTTAGTCTCACCACCTTCTGATGCACATTTGAAGAGGACTTGAGAGAAGGACTTCATGTTGGCTGCTCCCAAGCTGTGGAACATCTTTTCTAGGGACTGCTAGGTTATCCCCCTCACTCTTGTCCTTCTGCCAGCAGGCAAAGACTTTCATATTCAGGCAAACTTTCAACGATTACCTAGCTTCAAAGAAGAGGGAATATAATATGTGGGTGTTGTAGTTCTTAATATTAAATTAATATATATTTTTTTAAAAAATCATTATGCAAGAATTTTCATTACAATAGTACAACAAAAACATCCTTTTTAACAATAAAAGTCTATAATAATTAATGTGCTACTAAATAGCCATTAATTCAATTGAATTTTAATATTTTAATATTATATAAATACAATTTAATATTTGGCTATTATAACATGCTTAATTCTATTTTAATAAAACATTTTGTGTTTTTATTTACACTGTGTTTGAAATTATGTTTTAAGCTGCCCTGCATTACAGTTCTGGGAGAAAGTGGAAACTACATCCAATATTTTTTTCCATTTTACATCAAGAATGGACAACTTGCATTCCATTTCTTGGAAAAAGGTGGAAACTGAAGCAAATTTATTCTAGACCAGGGATGGGCACTCATGAACTGTGTGGAAGGCTCTCCCACCATTTTGTCTTCATATGTTATAGAGCTGCCACACCCATGAGCCCCAGACAGCATAGTCAGTGGTTAGGGTTCATGGGAGTAGCTGGCCCACAGTACCTGAAAGGTCTCAAGTCACCATTCTTGTTCTCAGTTTACAATGGTTGAAGGACCTGTATGTGATGATGAGATGTCTTTGCATTGGAAGAAAGAGTAGCCAATGGTGCACTTCCAATATACTTCTTATTCTTACTAACATATAGAGGTTATGTTGTTATTTTATGCTAAGGCCACAAAGGCAAATGAATGTGTAGTACTTCCTTTCTTGGGCATTTGGAAGATGTTTGTGGATCTTAAGGCCTTGCATGGTATGGACTCAGATATCTGGATCCAAACTATACTCAACCTTGGTTGCATTCTTTAACCATCCAATTTCAGTCATCATCTATTACAATTAAAGGTGAATTGATGTTTCCCAGTGCCTAAAGCCAATTGTTAGTCCCAATCAATTGTTGAATTGTCAACATGCATATGAATCCCACTGCTTCATGGGTCTACTTTAGTTGAGGCAAGCAATTGGATTAAGTCCTAGATTTTTTAGGCTACAAATCCCTTAAGGTTCAGCCTGCATATTCAGTGGCCATAGATTATAGGAAAAGTAGTTCTAAATATCTGCAGGCCACCAGTTTGCCTGAGAGTCAGTGTGGTGTAGTGGTTTGGATATTTAGTCTAAGATTCTGGAGACCAGGGATGAAATGCCTGCTCAGCCAAGGAAACCCACTGGGTGATCCTGGGCAAGTCACACACTTAGGGCCTAAGCAGAAGGGCGGCTGTGGGCCGCCCTGGGAAGCTGCGCTGCAGGACTGAGGCATCCCCATGCCTCGATCCTGCGGTGCAGCTTCGCCGCCCCTGAAAGGAGCGCTAAATTAGTGCTCCTTTCACAAGTCAGCGAAAGTGCGCCGCAAAAGGCTGCGGTGCACTTTCGTCGACTTTTCCGTCGCAGTGCGTGGAAAGGCTGTGGCGGGAGGTCCTCCTTGGAGTGCCGGCTCCGAGGACGACCTCAGGAAGGGGTTGGGGTGCCAAGCGTGTGGCTGTCCCTCTCCTTCCCTGCGCCGAAGATGGCCTTTTAAGCCATCTGCTTCGGCCCTTACTCTCAGAGGAAGGCAATCTATTATGGCAACCAGAACAAATCTTGCAAAAGCAAAAAACAAAACAAAATCAAACAAAAAATATAATAGGTTCACCTGAGGGCTATCATAAGTTGCAAATGACATGAAGGCACACAAAAACAATAAACCAGTTTTCCTAACTCATGTCTATGAGAAGGCTGTCATTGAATGGCTAAGGAAAGGCTTGATTTGCCCTGCTCTCTAATAACAGATTTTTTTTTTGTTTGAACTGACTTGCAGAATGCTTTTTTCTTCTTGTGAGCTAAACATAGCTCTGATGTGGGAAATCACACAGTAATACATGATCTTTTGAATGAGTGAAATGCTGACTTTTTCAAAGCAAGCCTGTCAAGAGCAATGGAGTGTGTATGATTTTATAAATATCCAGGATATATTTATTATGTAGAGTGAATTATGTACTTCAGGGACTTGCTTTCTAGTGTTTATGAAGTACAAGACCTCCAGTTGGAAACATGTGCCTAATGTATTAAGTGTAGCCCAGAACACATTGTTGAAAGTTATAGCTTTTTAACTATATACAAAGCATGAAACAAATATAGGTTCAAATGAACCAGTCTTTTTTCTGCTCTTTTATTGTATATGCTTCACTGTATATTTTTTTCTTTGGATGAAATAAAAAAAAAATAGGGAAATTAGATTTGTGAGTCAGGAAGTTTGCCAGGATATTCCTCATAAGAACTCCACAAGAAACATACTAGGCATATGGCAATCTTTCATTTTCATTATAATTTTTAGAATTCTCCCAGCATTCTTATCCTGTCCATGTTCTGTATTATTTTCAGCTCGTCTTTTCTGCAAAGAAAATTTGCGCCACATTTCCCCTAATAGATAATATTTTAATACATTTTTCTTTTAAAAAAACACACACACCCCAAAAGCCACTCACTCTCATCTGACTGAAGTTTGTATGCAATATTCAATTATATGCTGTTTTGGTCATGTGCGTTTACTTGCACATAATTTGAAAAAGAAAACAACAATTGACATTCACACTTTTCTGCAAATGATGGAAAACTGAGAGACATGATTTTACTACTTTTAGAATAATTCTATAATTTATGTATTCAATATTGATTGTTGTTGTGTGCTTTCAAGTTGTTTCTGACTTACGCGGTTTTCTTTGCAAGATTTCTTCAGAGGAAGTTTGCTATTGCCTTCCCCTGAGACTTACCCAAGGTCACCCAGTGGGTTTCATGGCTGAGCTGGGAATTGAACCCTGGTCTCCATATTCAGAATACTCACAAACTGAAATTAGAGAATGCACAAAAAAGTATACAAAAAGACAAATTTCAATTCATGAGTATATTAAAGCTATCAAATATTAGAAGTACTGGGGAAACTATCATAAACTATCTTGGTATATTTTAAAGATATAGCCGTGTTTGTCTGTAGAATTAATATATAGAGAGATTTTGTTGCACCTTTGATACCAAGGGCCTTTGCAGACTGCTAGAAATAGTGCAAATTGAATCCACTTTAACTGCCCTGGCTCAGTGCTAGGGAATCATGGGAATTGTATTTTTTCTGAGCCATTGAGCCTTCTCTATCAGAGAGCTCTGGTGCCACAATAAACTACAGTTCCCATGATTCCCTAGCACTGAGCTTTCATAGCAGATGCTTATGGTGGAGTGGAAGCCAGGGAGAGACAGGAGTACAGGAGTTTAACTGAAGAAAACTGAAAAGGAATGTTGGCTACTGCAGAACATAGAGCTTGAGTAGAACCCATGAGCTCTATGTACTTTTCTTGCTTCAGAGTCAATGCCTGTTTCTGCTTAGTCTCAGGAACAATGTTTTGACCCTCATCAGCATAATGTTTATTAGTTAAGTGCCTGATATGTCTTAGAATTTTTGATTGCATGGATAGCAGAGACAGTCCAGGGCTGCAGCATTGTCTCTCAATAAAAATCCTGCCCCTCTCCCAATGAAAATTTCCTCCAGTCCCCAAATTCTTAGCACTGCAAAGAATGAAACATTTAAAATCATCTGTACCTAGAACTCTTGTATTTGCTGTATTTGCACTCCCTTGGTAACTTTGCCCGCTCTATTTCTTTGTATGCCTAACCTGTACTTCTAAATGTTCTACTGAAGTTTTAAAGTGACTGTAGTGATAGAAATTTGGATACTCATTGAAAATTTCATCGCGGGGGTGGGGGGAAGTGGAAGAATCCTTTTGGGCTCAATATCCTCATTTTGTCTCCCTTTTAGCTACATCCCTGATATGGTTCTCTTCAGATTGTCACTCTCCTCATGCAGACAACATTGAAGGAGATGGTGGAGCATGCATGCTCCTCTCCTTGTGTGTTGACTGCAACTCTTTCAATGAATGACTGAATAGGGCTAGAATCTCAATTGAAAATGAGTCTGTGACTGTATGTGAGATGATGGGAGGTAAAACAACAGCAACAGATAGTCCATGGTTGGGACTGAGATAAAATAACCCTGCCTGTTTTCATATTGGAGCCACCATGGTGTAATGGTTTGTGTGTTGGATTACAACTCCAGAGATCAGGGTTCAATTCCTTGCTCAGCCATGGAAACACACTGGGTGACCTTGGATGAGTCACACTATCTCAACCCCAGAAAACCCTGTGATAGGTTCAGCTTAGGGTCACCATAAGTCAGAAATTACTGGAAGGCACACAACAACAATTTCCATATCCCTTAAGCAGCAAAGGATATTTTTTTTAAAAAAATGAATTTTCAAATCATCTCAATACAAAGTGATGCTTTAAGTTTTCATCACTAAAACTGAAAATAAGGCAATGTGATGTGCTCCTGTTACAGACCCCAGCTAGGTGGCCAGCCAGGCAGCCACACCTTTCCAGGATATACTCTGGGATAGTCCTTCCCATTGTTCCTCCCCAATATGTTCCCGATGTCCAAAAATGATTGGTAAGCATTTGTATCCGCTAAGCATTTTCAGCCCTCATTGGCTTATTTTGGGTCCCCTTCCCCATAGAGTCCCTCTCACCAAGTTTACACTACTTATTGTTGTTACATTGTACTTAAGCATTCCATTTGTGTGTGGATGGTGCTGCTTTGGGTACATAAAGAAAAGAATCAATTAGGATTCATTTTGGGTTAGAATGCCCTTTTTATTAATATTTCTGTGAGCAACATAATGAAAATCATCTGCTAGAGCTTTACGTAACTGAAACCGGATACAAGGATCTCTGATTTAGCTTACAAACATTCCTCAAGCTTGTCTCAAGAGTCTAAAAACTGTTCTATAGAAATGCATTCCATGAAATGTAGAACAAAATAGTATGGGTGACATATGATTTTCCCCCCCTCCAAGGATAAAAACAAAACAAAACAAAACAAAACAAAACAAAACAAAAACCCTGGTCTTTTATCTTAATTATCTGAAATCTTATTCAAATAAAATGTGGCTGTCCTATTTAAATACAAATTCAATTACTTTGAATATAGTATGAAATCAGCATCTTGAATAGCACTTGGAAAGAAATTGGAAGTCAGTTCACTTCTTGTAAAACCAGTATTATGTTATTTCTAAAATGCACACCCAACACCAGTTTGGCTGCTTCATTTTACACTAGTGGCAGCTTCCAAATACTTCTCAAGTGCAGCTCCACATAAAGCATATAAGATACATTAGATGGATGGACTCAGTCAGGGGGATTATGGGCATGGGCTTGCAGAACCTGAGCAGAGCAGTGGAAGATAGGGAGTCAGAACTGACTTGAGGGCAGCTAACAATTACTAGTGCATAATTCATAGTGGTCAGTTTAACCCTCTTAGTGGTTTGTTTGGGCCTCAAGACTTTACCCAATGCCTTTTTGTATTGTCATTTCATTCTAATGTTACCAAACTAGACAATGCATCATAAAATTAAGCTATATTGAATACAGTAAGTCTGACTTCTGGATCATCATGCATAGGATCACATTGTAAGTGTTTCTTGCCTTCTGTAATTGTTCACAATTTAACTCTGTGCTGGATAGTCATATAATTTATTTTCTATGGCACCTTTTGGCAAGACAAACAAACTTAAAACAAGAACAAGGGGCTCATAACTTTCACGCTGTTGTGGCCAGCGAGAACAGATTTAACGTGTACTAGAGAAGCAAACAGTGTCCTTAGATAATGAGCAAGATTTTTTTTTTGGCGATTTTGTGCTTATGATGCAAATGTCATAGGTTTCTGAGTGTGAGGGCAGCATAAACCCAGTAATAGAAGCTTGTGCTATTGGTTAATTAGCAGCGATCTGCTACATGCTGAAATGGGTTTGAATTTCATTACTGAGCTGAAAGGAAAGTAAGATCAGAGTCCCATCTTCTGATGCAGCTATTTTATAGACCTAAGTGCACATGTGATAGAATAAAATATGAAGACATATAAAAATTCCTGTATTTTTCCTTTAGACATGAACAAAGTGAGGAAAAGACATGGGTTCCCCCCCCCCCATATGTTTTTTAATACTGTACTCAGCTAGACAGTGGC